GCTATTCTTTGGAACTCTGCATTCAAATGGGTATATCTTTCTTTTTCCTCTTTGCTTTTCACTTCTCTTCTTTGTAAGGACTATTTATAAGGACTCCTCAGACAGCCATTTTGCTTTTTTGCATTTCTTTTTCTTGGGGATGGTCTTGATCCCTGTCTCCTGTACAATGTCACGAACTTCCATTCATAGTTCATCAGGCACTCTGTCTATCAGATCTAGTCCCTTAAATCTATTTCTCACTTCCACTGTATAATCGTAAGGGATTTGATTTAGGTCATACCTGAACAGTCTAGTGGTTTTCTCTACTTTCTTCAATTTAAGTCTGAATTTGGCAATAAGCAGTTCATGAACTGAGCTACGTGTATGTCTTATGTATCTATACATATACAGGCTCACCTGCTTACATGTACAAACATAAGAACCATACATACATATGTCTTTCCTTATAGAAATAACATATGTATACACATACATATGCTATTTCTGTAAGGATAACTAAGAAATCACTAACACTAACTCATTGGAATAGACCCTGATGCTGGGAAATATTGAGGGCAGGAGGAGAAGGGGTGACAGAGAATGAGATGGTTGGACAGTATCGTCGACTCAATGGGCAGGAACTTAAGCAAACTCCAGGAAATGGTGATGGACAGGGAGGTCTGGCGTGCTGTAGTCCATGGGGTCACAAAGAGTCGGACACGACTGAGCAACCGAAGAACAAACACTGATTGTTTCCGAGGAGGAAACCTAAAGAAACAGAGACAGAATGTCTATTTGCTTTTCAGAGGATAGCCTTCCATGTCTGTTGAATTTTGGCGTTTGGCAGTGCTGTTGGCATTACTCATTTGAAAAATAGCTTGGGAATGAGGACAAAAATAGACATTTTGCATTTTGTCAAAAATGCAAACAGAAACAAACAAACAAGATATCTAAGCATACACTGCAAGCCTATTAACCTGCACAGAAAGTCTTAACAGTAACAGCCACACACACAGAGAACAGAGGGAAGGCTCTTACGGCTGGAGACGCAGTAGGACAGCCGGCAGTTGATCTTCCGGAAGAGCTGCTTGTTAACCGGCCAGAGAAGGAGCGTGAAGAGCTGAATGGTGTTGATGATGAGCCCCGAGGCAATGAAGACGTAGCAGAAGATGAGGTGGCAGAGGAAGTGAGACTTCAGCAAGGCGACCAGGTCCATGCTGGGGATGCGCTCCTCGCCCAGGCAGCGAGCACCCACCGCAGAACACGGCCAGCGGGGCGGGGGGCCGGGACTCAGGAAAGCGCCTGAAACACACACCGATGCCAAACGTCAGAAACAAATGTTACTGCGCTCTTAGAGGCGGGGGGAGAACACTCTCAGAAGACAAATATACTCTCAAGATTACACTGTACAGGCGTGGATTTCTTTTTTATTTTGCAAACACTTATATAGTGCTTCCTTTACCTCGGGCACAGTTCAACCCTTTAAAAGAACATTGTTGTTGTTGAGTCCCTAAGTCGTGTCCGACTCTTTGCGAGCCCATGGACTGTGGCCCACCAGGCCTCCCTGTCCTTCACCATCTCCCAGAGCTTGCTCAAATTCATGTCCATTGAGTTGGTGATGCCATCTAACCATCTCATCCTCTGTCATCCCCTTCTCCTCCTGCCTTCAATCTTTCCCAGCATCAGTCTTCAAAAGACTAGTCCCTCTGATTGTCCAAACACCTGTTAGTGAAAGTGAAGTCGCTCAGTCGT